CTAGGAGACCAGAAAGGTCAGAGGCATCACCCTGGTGCTGGGAGAACAAGGGATCAAAGGCAAGAAGGTACCAAACAGCCAGTCATGTTATGTGTAGCAACCACTGATTATGGCCTTTAGTTACACACTGTTCTGATTTGTTACTTAGCTGCTTCGTGTAATATCAGCATTTTAGCAACATCGTGTGCTTGGAATAGGGAAATGCTGGGAAGTATAGGAGATTGTCCTACACTTTGTTGCAAAAACTAAGAGGCAGTGTGTAGCTGATGGAATTCATAAAAGTCAGGAAAATTGACATCTGGAACCCCAGTTTCAAATACCAGCTGTACCATTTGCTGGCTGCGAGATCTAGTGGGGGGTGCGTGGCCTCTGTGGGGCTGTTCTCCAGGTAGTGACCAGAAGGCCCCACAGGTTTCCTCCTCGTCACACTTGTCCACATGTCCACTTCCCCTTCAAGTCTCTCCACCATTGCAGCATGGAAGCCCTCACCAGAAGACAGGGCCGTGCCCTTGAACTTCTCAGGCTGCAGAGCCTGCGCTAAATAAATCTCTTCTCTTCACAAATTACCGAGACTTAGTTATTCTTTCAAAGGAACACAAAATGGACTAAGACAGCTGAACACGTGACGTGAGTGCCCCACAGAAGGACCCTCCCATATTAACACTCTGTGTGAGGACCTGGGCACGCAGTGGGAACACTTAGGTGAAGCCATAGCCATGGGAACTTCCTATACTAGGAAATGGCCTTTTTAGAATTAGGGACCTCTAGATGCTACCTCTGGTCTCAGCCTGTCAGATCTGCGGGGTGAGCTTCTTGACAAGCACATGGGTGCCCTTCCAAAGCCATCTGGGACTGTCCCCTCATGTCCTCTATGATATTGGAGCTTTAATATTAAAACCTATTCCACAAGGTCATTGTGAGGCTCTAGCTTAGCAGCAGGCACTTCCTGAATGGCGGCTGTGAGTCACTTCACCAGCGTGCGCTTGAATAAACCACATCCTTTTTATTTGTCATAGTGATCTCTCCATTTCACCATGCCCAGATGGGCCCGTAATGTCTTTCTTGGGCTCCTCCTCCTAAAGCAGGAGCGAGATACAGGCAGGACGTCTGAGGCGGAGGCAAGCCCTAATCTGCAGGGAGGCGCCGGGCAGGGAGGGATGGTCACGACCACGGCTGAAGTGCATCTGTGCTGGGAAAGCCACGTCCACAGCAATGTGCCCCTGCTCCTCTGTGGCCGCCAGCAAGGACCTGTTCCCATCACAGCCACATGCTCCTGGACAGGGTCCGTCCTCACTCTCAGCTCCAGTTTGGTCGAGGCGACCCCATGCACTTTCCCCCGAGGTCACGAAAAACAAACAAAGGCTGGAAAACTGCTACAGATTAGAGAAGACGAAGGAGATAGGAGGGATCCTCGTATAGAAAAGGGATGTTGATGGGAAAACTGGCGGCTTCAGAACAGAGTTTGAGTTAATATTTAATATATTGTAGGATTTCTAGGCACTGATTCCAGCAACCACCCAACCACCCCCATCGTTGGGGCTTGCTGTCATTGTGCTTTTATTTCATTACTTGGCTGGACTAATTTAATGAAGTTTTTATCTTCTTCAGTGTAAAGTCTCTGATTTCATAGACAGTGCAGCCTTGAGCACGCACATAGTCACTGGGGATGACAGCGGTTTTAGCAGCGCTGTCTTTGCCCACTTCCCAGATCTGTTAACCTGCCCGCCTCTGGTGATGCCACACTCAGCTGTTAGGATCCGGTTGCCATTGGATTGCTGTATTGTTCCTGACAATACTCTGAGGTGTACACTGCTCCACCATCTGATTCAACCACATGTGGGCCCCTACACAGGGCTAGGTTTTCAGGCTGGTTTTTGAGGTTTGATCCGACCCCAGAAGGGTCCTTCTCTCTCGGGCTCTCTCTGGTAAATCAGCTAGCCTACAACTTAGCCATCGCTGTCAAGGAGCTGCCCGCTTCCTCTTAATTGCTTACCACAGAATTCTCCACTGTTTTTGAGAGCACCCTTAGGCTTGACTTTCCCCGCACGGTTCCACAGTCAATTCCTTTGGGGAAAGTTAAGAGCTCTCTGTTCTTAGAACCTGTATCTCCCCTGGGAAAAACCTGAGCCGGTGCTCTGGAGCTGGGGGTGAGGAGAGCAGCCGACCTCCCCAGGACTGACATGCCTGCCATGTGAGCAGCCAGTAGCCTCTGCTCTTCTTGGCTTCCCTCTCCTGGCATGGAAACTCCACCCCATGAGCGAAGTAGGGAGAGGCTGCTCAGGACCCCAGTGTCCTGGGTCTGCCACGCCTAGGGTACGGCCTCCAACTTGAGTTGGACCTGGGTAGAGGGAGTCCCTGACCTCTTGGCTAGACTGTCCTCTGCAACACAAAACTGGAGGGGCCTGAGAAACACCGGCAGCCCGCCCCTCCCGGGGAGATCCCAGTCTTTGAGAGTTGGGGTAAAGAGAGCACTATCTTCTGAGTCACACTCAGGGGAGCCTCTATGGCGCTGAGTCGGGATGGGGGGCGGCGCTGGTTAGGGAGAAAATGGGTGCGGCAGAAATGCCACAGATTCCTAATGTTCTTATGGAGATTGAGTAGATTTTCCTGAATGTTTGTTCATTTGCGTTATTTCCTTAGGACAATTTCCAGAGACTTTAAATGCTTGTTTAAAAAAATAATTTTAACCAGTACACTGCAAAGTGGGTCAGCAGAGCTCATGCAGCCATTGTGGAAGTCATTCATCTATTCAGTTATTGTTGGTATTCTGCAGTTTACCTCACCAAAGCCAGTTTTAAACAATGAAGTTTATTCGTATCCCTTAGAATATTTTAAAAATGAAATTTTGATAATTTCAAGACACAAAATACTTGGAATTTAGAAAAGAATAAAAATTCTCAATAGATTTTAGTTTAAAAAATATTTGCCATTCAGAAAAATCAGTAGAATAAAGCCATATCCAAGGTAAA